CAACTTCGAAGCGACCAGGCGTAACATCAACTACAACCCTGCGCTCATCCAGGACAGTTTCGACAGCACGGCCGCTCTTGCTCGCCCCCGCCCCCGTCGGGGCACCAGATCCAGTATCGCCTGGTCGAGCGGCCGCAACCACATGACTATAGGCAGTAGCGGCATCAGCTATCGCCGCAACGACACAGAGCTCAACGAGCCCATCTGCTGTACCCCGGCTCTCGACGCCATCCGTAGCCGCAGCGCTGACCGGTCGTGCTAGAGAGGGACGAGGGCTCTCGCCGGTTTCAGCAGCGAACGGCTCCTCCACACCATACCTGCTCGCCACGAAGACCTGGACTACCTCCTGCGGCCGACCCTCATCTCGGAGGGGAGCGACCGGGCCATGCTTAGAGCCTGGCCCGAAGGAGGCACTCGGTCCTGGAGCCGTCACTCGCCGCAGCTCCATACGCCCGCCACCAGGACGTACCTGCACTGCTGCTACCCGCCGGCCCGTCTCCGTAGCTCTCACCTCGCCGCCCACGCCGACCCGAGCGCTCCCGATCCGGATCCTCGCGCTCCGAGACCCAACTGCCAGCTCATCCTAGAGCCGCCGTGTCGTTGCCGACGCCCGCGGCGTCAACGACACATCGGAGACCCCCACCGTCGGCTCATAGAGCACCCGCTCCGCTGCATCAGGCCCAGCAACCGTATGTCCCGAGGCATAGGCGGCTGCGGCCGTCCGTCGCTCTACGCGCGGCCCAACAACTTGCACCGCCTAGCCGGTCGGCGTCCTATCGGAGCTATCGCTAGTCGGTACCGCGACCAGGACCTGCTCAGGCTCGTCTTCCCGCCTGCTCTGCCTTCCGCCGTCGTCGCTCTCTACGCTTGCTCCCAGCTGGGCCAGCCATACTCACTGCGTTTTGCTATGTCTGTCTTCATGTCATTATCTCTTTTTTCTTCTTCCTGTGCGTCGTCTCTGTCGCTGTCGCTGTCTCTGGCAGCAGTCCAGCCGTGTCGCGTTCTCCGTTTCCGTGTGCAGTGTCGTTTGTTGGCCCGTCTACGTCCTTACTTGTTCCATCTACTCCCCAGCGGCAGCTGGCAGCACTCTATTATTCGACGCCACCCTTCCCTTCTTTTTTTTACCGGACCTACCTACCTACCTACTAGCGCCCCAAAGGGTTAGTCGAAATCGTCACGTGAAACCGAGCCGAGATGGTCCCGGTCCCCCCAGGAGACTACGGACAGACCACGGACAGGCTAAGGGACAGGCTACGGACAGTCTCTCATCCAACTCAACTCCCGCGAGCCATTGTTCAACTCTCGACCCCTCTGCTTCTTCCTTCTTCTGCCTTTTCTAAGTCTCCGGGGTTGGCTCGGGCACGTCGCGTCCCAGGTCTTCTTTTAAACTTACTAAGCGGGCTGCGTTCCCTCTCTCCCCTGTGAACTGCCAATTTCACATCCGTTTGGCCAGACACCAACAATGGAATACCGGTACTACCTTAAACTACTGACCGAATCTCCACTCCACTCCACGTCAACCTACCGCAACTCGAGGCGACCTAGTCTACCTACCTCGACCGGTCCCCAGCTGGCGGGTATTCCAAGTCTCCGATGGCGATCGCTCTCGGTGGTTGTAGTGACATCGTGTCAGTCAACACGACGCTTGACCCCGCCCGCGCCAGTCGGATCTACGACAGTCGAGGCGGCGGCCCTCCGCCTTCGACCCGTGGCTTTGACAAGATCGGACGAGCATACGAAAGCGCTCGCGACGTTCCCCCTGCGGCACCCGCTCCCCCCAACCCCGGACAGCTGGAGGTCGTCGAGAGGCCCGTGGAACAGCGTACCATCAGGCGTCCCAGGCCTCTCTCACTGACACAGGAGCCGGGTCGCGCCTATCCCGACGACTATTACAGGGGCTACGATGATGATGGCTATGAGCCCCGTCGCTACTATGACGATAGTGTCACCTCTCGAGGCTTCGGTCTGCGAACAGGCCAACCTGATGATGTCGAGGACCGCCGAGGCCGCTATTGGGAGTCAAAGGACGACCTTGTAAGGGACGAGCCACCCAGGAGAGATCACTCCAGGAAGAGGATCGAAGCCCCGGTAAAGGAAGGGCAGAGGCCTCACGACGAGGAAGAACGGGGATCTGACCGTGAGAGAGACCGCGAGAGAGACCGCGAAAGGGACCGTGACAGGGATCGCGAAAGGTCAGACCGCGACAGGGAGGATTGGTACCGAAGCTACAAAGACAACCTCCGTGACAGACTAGACGGCAGGAGGGAATCAGACCAAGAGGACGGCGACCGACCCCGAGTCCGAGAAAAGGTTGCTGCTGCTGCTACTGCCACGGCCTCTGCTGCTGCTGCTGCGGCTGGTGGTCTCTCACCGAACAGCAAGAAGGACGCGAAGCCAGAGTCAAGCGAGCCACGGAGGCGCCGGGCTTCTGATGAGGCCAGTGACCGAGATGACGATCGAGACCGTCAGGCCGCAAAGGCGGAGGCGGCAGAGGCCAGGGAGCGAGAGCGGAACAGACGGGAAGCCGAGGCCAAGCTGAATGGCGAATCGGCGGTTGTGTCCTCGGATTCTGATGAGGGAAAGAAGAAGGCAGAGCGCAGGCACCGTCCCTCCACCAGCTTTGACCCCAACGACACTGGAGATCTCAAGCAGATTCGAGAGCAGCTTGCAAAGTCATCTGACAGCGAGAAGCCTGAGACCAATGGCAAGGACAAGGCGTCGCCGCCGCCCAAGGACAAGGAGGAGCGCCGGTCTGAATCGCCCTCTGGGGAGGACGACCGCGGGCGGGACTTGGTTCTCCGGAACCCAGAAGAAAAACAAGTCCGTGTTGTGTCGCCGCCGCGCGAAAAGAAGGAGGAGAAGCCTCTCAAGGGCATCCTCAAACAACCAAGCGCCAAGTTCCCCGAGGAGCTCAATCCCATCCGTGAGGGCGTCGCGCCGCACAAGGAGGATAAGAAGTTGAAGGAAGTCCCTCCAGGCGCTCGGTGGACCAAGATCAACCGCAAGATTGTCAACCCGGAGGCGCTGGAGATTGGCAAGGAGAGATATGAGCTCCGTGATGACTTTGTCATTGTGCTTCGAGTCTTGAGCAAGGAAGAGATTCAGGCCTATGCTGCTGCCACGCAGGTCTTAGGCGACTCACATGAGAAACCGTTCTGCCTGCCGATTCGTATGACTAACATATGGAATAGAGAGGCGACGCAACAAGGAGGCTGGCGTCGAGCACGACAGCGATCGAGACCGGGAGCGAGACCGAGACGGCCACGCTCGAGACTACGATCGCGACTACGATGACCGATCCTACGATGGGGACTACGGCCGCGAATATGACCGCGAATATGATCGTGACTACGACCGGGAGTACGATGACGACCGGGACCGGCGAGCAAGTCATCGCCACCGCCGTCATCGAGACGATGCGGACCTGGTCGACCCCCGTGACCAAGACCGTGACCGTGACCGCGACCGCGATCGAGAGAGGCGACGCCGGCACAGGCGCGACGACGATGATGATTACGAGTCCAGGTCCAGGGAGGTGGACCACCATCATCATCACCATCGATCCCACCGAGAGATTTAGACATGATTCACGAACAAGAGCATGGTGAGATGGTGCCGCGGCATTTTGCCGTCCATTTATGCAAGGTTATCAAGCGTGCGCGTCTTGATTGCATGCTCTGCGCGAGTTGATGTGTTGTTTGAGGAGTTGATCGATTTTTTTCTGTTATTTCTTGGCTATGTCCCTTTTTTTCTTTTACTTTTGAATACCTCTTTCCTCTTTCTCTTCTATACGTTTAAAGCTACACCTGGTGTTTTGTATGGGCTTTTCTTTCTTCTCAATTTCCTCTCACGTTTCATCCGTCGACGAAGCAAAATGTATGACAAACCTACACTGGTGTGGTGAGTAGAGGGGGGTTTATGTGTCAATGAATGAACGACGGCGAGCAAGATGCTTTTGGCTTCTTTTTCTTCTGCGTGTATCCGCTTCGTCGCTTCTCGGTTCTCTTTATATCTGTGTGTTTGGATTTGATGTTCACTTAGGGCTCCAAGGGAATAAAAGCTCGGTTTGATCTTCTCTCACATAGCATCATCATCATCTTCTCCTTGTTATGTTACCCCGTGACGCTTCGTTGCACAATATCCAGCCGGCCAGCCAGCCATCCACTCTGCGCCCCCCATGCCATCCACGCGTATCGTCTATCTCAGACAATGCCGCACCTGGTAACTTTTGCATTTGGGGGGAGAAGGGGGGCCTGCTTGTTTGTGGTTTAAGAATAAAGCCTCTATATTGTACGTTTTTCTTTTCCATGTTCCCTTGCCGCGATCCTTTATTCATGCCCACGCCCCTCCCTCGCCTATAATGTGGCTTTGCCTTTTTTTCCTTTTTTTTTCTTTTTTTTTTTGTGCCCAGCCAGCATGGGGGCCAGGCCATGGGTCATTTACTTCTCGGCTATCCCAGCGAGACGGGAGTCAAGGAGTCATAGAGCTGGGAGCTGAACAGTAGCTTCGTACATCGTTCATCCTTTGTACAAGTACATGGACATGCTTGTGAGTCCCATGTCCCCGAGTGCTTGCTTTTACCAGCATCAAGCTTCAAACTTCAAGCTTCAAGCAGGAGCGCATTTGTCGTCGTCCCCGTGGGGGGAGACAAGACGAGACCCCCCCATGGGGCTTGCAGTATCGTTCTCCCTTCCATCCCTGGGCCTTCTCTCTTTCACGCACTACGACATACATAACACAAGTCAGCACGTACGCCGTTTGTCGAGAACAGTACCTTGGGGTAGTAAAACGCCATATTCACATGCCCAGTCACAGCACATGAAGAGACTTTCAGATAGTATTTGCCTCTCACCCCCGGCTTGGGCACCCCCTTGGTCTCGGCTGGCTGGGGGGGGCTGATACAAAATGTCGCGATGTGGTGTCGCCCCAAAGGTTTGGGTTTTGGGCGTAGGCGTCTGGGATTTGGGGGATTGGTGACACTGCAAAGTTCGTAACGGGGGGGCAAGGAGATACCTAACCTGACCTTGAACTTGGTGGCATCAGGCACTACTACCTGGTATTCACTGGCCTTTCCTTTATACAGAGTAGGTACTTGACCTGAGGAGGCGTTTCATGGGAGAATAGGCAGTTGAAGGTAAGACCCGTAGGAGGGGGAATGGGTTGGGGATCTCGGTGGGCTGTGCTGTATTTGTTCGTGCATCGCTGGCGTTCAGATTTGGCCTGAGGGGTACGATGTACGTGTGACTCCTTTGTACGCCCTCTACTCTATAGTAGGCCTCTGTATATAGTATGCTGGAGCGTGTGGAAAATGGAAATGCAGTGACGAAGATACTTGGATTGGGACAAAAAGGGGAGACGACGCTGATGATGGTGTTAGATCGATGTCTAGGGACGGACGTATAGGGTAAGGCGTTCGATTTGGAGCGGACGAGACGGGTGAGGCAGTTTTCTTTTGCAACTTTTCCTTCATCTTTTTTGCAGACCGTGAGATACGAAGCGATCTTTTTGATCACCAGTATTGGAATCTGGAAAGTGTGTGTTCCGTTGTGCATGCTGTATATGAGGCTACTTTACCTGACTGTAACACTCGTACGAGTACGAAGCAGGGAGACACGGAATAACACCACAACTTGCACTACACAGGAAGACACACCACGAGTCGAGTCGCACGGCATTTAATACACTCAAAGACTCACATGAAAATGCAAAATTATACTTGTGAGGGAATAAGGAAAAGAAAAGAGAAGTGAATTAAACAAAGCTGACGTTTTGACGGAATACGTAAAGAAAGGTAATTAGAAAGTCGCAAAGAAAAAACCTGTCTCGTCGCAAAAACTCCCAGCGGCCCGTCCCCATTCTCGCCCTTTGCGTCCGGCACACACAGATTTTACAACACCTCTTTATTACTTCTCCAGCTCTTTGACTGCGAGATGCAAAAGGGGAACGCAACACACAGAGAGAAGGGGACGGAACAATGGGGGGCTTCTTTCCTTTCAGTGAAGATTCCCGTCGGCTTTTCTTCCATGGAACTGTTTCAGTTGCTGCTTTGGTGTATGAAGTACCCCAATCGTATTGTTCCTCTGTATCTCATTCATGTTATTCTTCGTTATCTCTACTTTTCATGAAGTCGGGATGATATATAATCGGCCTCCGGCGTCCGTGTTTCTTTTCCTCATCTCAATTTATTGTAAGTTGGTCTATTTCCCATGGACACGCTCATTCCTCCCATCTCTCTTCCTCTCTTATTCTGTCTCTTTACCCTCCGACTTGCCCTCTCTTTTTCCATCAAGACCCTTTTCTTTTGCATAAAATCTCAAACGGCTATACGCATGCAACACACACCCAGCCACCCTCTCCCCTCTCCAGAAGTGGTGTGTTGCTGCAACTCCGAATCATGTGTCATGATATCATGCATCGAAAGCAATCCCAATCCTTCTTCCTGCTCTCGCAAAGGACAAACAACCCCAACAACAAGGAGACGCTGTACGAGTACCTTCATCGCCAGTGACTGCTCTCCAAGTACAGGTACACCATGAATCCGGCCAAAGCGCCCAATCTCCATGTCACCACTCTTATAAAGCACACCACCTGAATAAAGGCAAGTGTCCCGTTACGGGGAATCAGTTCCGCCTCTTCAGGAAGCACTAACAACAACACCACCCTGCAGCAGAAAAGCTCTGCAATCAAGATGCCTTCTTCTTCTTCTCCTCACTTTTCTCTTCCACTTCGGCTCTTCCCTTCGCATCTTGGCCTTTCCCCTTCTTCTTTTCCCTTTCCCTTTAATACCGCATTGCAATTGCCGCTCCCTTTTCCGTCACCGCAATTCCTGTACTTGTACTTATAGGACCTGCGTTATACGTACTGTACCTATAATCGATCTGTCAGCCCGGTTTCCCTCGTTGTACTCTCTGAGCTCCCAATCATTCCCCTCTTGTCCCCCCTCCCTGGAATGTCACTGTTGTCCCAATCGACCTAGTATTGCCGTCAGGTTGGGACGTTGCCATAAGAAGCTCAGAAACCTGTACTGGTGTCCTCTGAACATCGGCACTGTGGCGGCCACCTACAGTACCTAGATGTTGTCTTACTCTTCCCGTACCTACTCGTACAATTAGCACCAACCATACAAGCAGTTCATGCCAGATTCCAACCAGGCACCCTGGATCTCTTACCAGTAATAAACCTGTCAAGCAAGACTTCGTACATCCCGCATGTGCGTACGCTGCACCTGCTGGCAGTTCCTGAGATCCTTGAATTCCAAACCCGTGGACATCCAAGACGACCACAACACATCCTGAGCAGACACCCCACGCCGCCTCCCTCCCTCTTCTCACGTCCAGAGAGGCTACATGCCCTATGTATCGTGTACAAGTGCTGCTCGTTCTTGTACCGTTACTTGAGCCGGGGGGGCGTGGAGGTTGGATGCGCAAACCCAAAAAGAAATCCTTGCAGGCCCCCGCGCCCCCTTTTTCCAGCCCTCGCCTCTCCACCAAACCCACCCACACCCCCTTAATCTGTGCAGTTCGTTCAGACGCGCACAGCAACCAAAAGCGAATCTCACTCTTGTGCTCCTGGAACGCCGACCGGCTTCCTGCCTGCTGGTTCCCGGCGTCGTGGCGGTTTGCTCTGCCTCTGCATCACTGCCAGCACTGCAAAGTCTAGGTAGTATCGACACAGACTCGTGCTAGTGCTGGGAGGGGACACGCAGTAGTAATACCACCCTGTTCCCAGGCATGCGACCATCTGCCAAAACTCACCCGCTGGCAGTGGCCCACCCTCTTCCTTGCTCGACAGCGTAAGGCGAGTGAAGAAGTTCTAGAATGGCTACAGGAGCCATCTGGAAATCGCCGGGGCAGCATACAGGCTCTGTATGAAGTGGTAGATAGCACGCAGCTTCAGAATGCACCTATACTTGGATGTACAGCAGTCGGGCTGTATGAGGCACCTCGGCGTCGGAACTGGACAAGCAGGAGTGAGTACTCGTACGAAGATGAGAGGGTAGATGAGAATAAGGCCTCCTCCTCCGTACCGATTGCTGTGGTATTATACTACTACCTTAGTACTTCGTACATGTACGAATGAGTAGTACCGTCCCATTCCTAGAAGAATCGCGTTAGCCACACATGATGCTGCCGCATGTGAACTCCCGCACAGCTCTGTACGCACATAGCCCGCATGTACCTCCTCGGCGCATGGAAAGCAGCAAATCGGGGCACACACACAAGTGCGCATGTACGTACTTCGCGGGAGACGATGCCTGGACCTCAGCGTCACCCCAGGACACGCCGCCGGTGCCCTCCCCTGCACCTGTCCCTGCCCTCTCTTGCTTTCTTTTCAGCCTCAAAATCTCGATATCCCAAGACATCAACCCGCATCTTCATCGGTCCCGTAGCCTTCAGTCCAAGCGGCAGATGAACACAACATCAGACCGGGAGTTGGGACACCCTCATTCTTCGCCGCACCTGTTCTGCGCGATTCGCTTCGTATTCCAAACTCCAGCCCCTCTTTCAAAAAGTTCCTCCATAGCATTACCAATCACGCGGTTTGCGCAGCTCTCGACTTCGAACAATACCCTCATTTGTC